GAACACCGCCTCTGGCAATCTTGACGCACCCTGAGCTCGGTTATGTCGATTCAGGAAATCCTTCGTAGTGAACAAAGCACTATTACGGCGTTCGTATCCAGAAGTTCGGGTCTCCAAGAAAGTTGGGTTCTGAATAGCGGCGTTGGCGAACAGAGTTCGGATGGACTACATTGTAGTTGTCATGAGCACCTCTTGCAACAAAATCAAACATGGAAAGGTATGGACACATCATCAAGGAGCTTAAGGGGGAGGGCTACTATTGAGTTGGATCACTTACCTCTTTGACATGTTCAGGTGCGTTTTGAGATAGCTGCCTGTGTGGGCCAATCCCGTCACAAGTTGGCCTTTTGCCACTTCTAGGTGGGAGGGCTTTGATTTCCTCGTGGGCATCATCTCCTAGGTAATCCCCAGTCCATGTAGTATATTGCTTGGCCAAAGTGAATGGGCGAATCAAAAAAGTAATGACAGCCCATCCAAAGACGTTGTAGGGAGGGCCACCCGGACCAAGAGCCAGAAATCTTTTATAGTCGAGTATACACCAGATGATGCCTTTTACCACGGCGAGCGAGCCCCCTGCGACAGTAATCGAGATCCAACCCCGACCAGAACCCCATGAAGAGTTCGGCACGAGGCGACGCAGAAAATCCATCGAGACAGTTGAAGCGGATGGTATCTGAGACCTAGACCTATCTGCTTATTAGTGTCGCGACTTTGTTCGCAGGTCAGGATTCTAGGCTTTATGTGCGCCACTGGAACCCGCTCTCTCTTCAGCAAGCCAGCTCTTAGAAAGTAGCCTGTCCGCGAGAAAGGACGGGTTAACAAAACACATGAGAAATGCCTCACTAAAAATATTTCCCAGAGATTTGAAGTCCCACACGCCCAGTCAAAGCCGGACTAAGCTCGAAATTTAGTAATTTTCCGCTCGATTATTATACTTCCACGCAAAGTTCTCCTACGTCCGTACATTATTGTTGAGGAGAGTTAGAACCTGAATTGGGAAATGATGGCGGGCGTGCTGATGTCGAAGGGCAAAATCGAGAGCGCGAGATCAGCAGTGTCAGGTGGCCCGCAACGCATGACATTCGATCTAAAATTGCAGAGAATCAGTACAGAGTGGTGTCGCGGTACTCCACTATCGGCACCCAGAGTTCCGCCGAGCCCGAATGACAGCGATCAACGGGACACCGGGCTTTCACGCAATCTTTACTAATATCAATCCACAACCCAAAATCCTACAGAATATCAAAATAACCTGCTCGTACTGGCGAATAACTTCGGTATGCGTCCCTACATCAAACGACATGCCCCGAAAGTTCGTACGGGGTGTGTAATATGCAAACGTCGACGGATTAAGTGCGACGAAGCGAAGCCGCAATGCCTTCGATGTGTGAAACATGGTTCACATTGCTATTACGAAGTGCCTAATACTTGGGTTTTCGAACCTAAGAAACACGTACAAGATGCTCCCGAGAAGCGCACTAGAACTTCCTCCACGACAGGACTGTACCACGAACTGAATTGGGATATTCTAAGCAGCGACGACTCGCATTTTCTCGGTCTCTTCGTTCGTCGACTCGGACGTGTGACGGCCGAGTATGGCCACGGCCGTTTTGACTTCTGGACTCGATTAGTACCTCAAGTCGCTAGTTCGGTCCCTGCAATCAAGCACATTCTCATTGCCTCCGCTCTGTCCAACGAGGCATGGCTCCGCTTGACCGTACCATCCTCATTGGAACGAGCAATCGACCACCATTACAACCTTGCCTTACGCGAGATCGCATATGGGAGTCCTACGCCCGAGGTCGCCTTGATGATGTGCCTTGCCGCTTTCACATTCGAGTCTATCAATGGCCGAGTGGAGTTGGTGAAGACCCATCTTCTGAGTGCTGGACGAATCGTTGATGACTACCATCATAAGTTATCTCAATATACCATTGCTAGGTCAAGTTTGCTCTTTGAGGCCATCGAACCTATAGTCTTTGAATGTCAGATCTACGCCGGTATCATTCCACCTCGTGGAACACCAGTAGATGGCATACACACCATTCAATATTGGAAAACAGAGCCGGTCACGCCTCCGTATGTTTCAATTGAGGATGCAGGATATGAATTGACCGCAGCAACTAGATACCTTCTGGAACCCGCCGGCCAAACCACCTACGCCATGATTCGTGCATCTGTATTTTTGAGCAGATGGCGCAAAAGTTTCGACAAATTCCGACCACAAAAAGACCGATATTCCAAGACGTTGCTGTGCTTGCATGATCTTATGAAGGCCTTGCTTGACGTGCTGCAGCAGACAACTGACCAGGACGTGTCGGTGTCCATCACTCTGGCAATCTGTAGGATGAGAGGCATCACGGAGCTGGGAGCTGCGAACCTCGAAAGAGTCTTGATAGGCGCGAGTCAACTTCTTGCACCGCGTTGTTCGACGTCCGACCAAAAGGAAGGCGTGGAACGAGTCCTTGATATGTTCGAACCGTAAAATTCCACTAATTCCATCGTACGGAAGAATCAGCTCAGCCATTGTCCTTGATTTAACGCCGTTTGCGACTGGAGAAGACTAGATGCAGAGGCGCCAGGATACAAGTGAAGCAATCTTTGGTCTCGTTCAACAATGCCTGTCCGTCCTCTAGCGAATCAAATTTGATTTCAAATTCGAGCACAAGCTTAGCCAGGACCGTCCGCATCTCCATATATGCCAATTGTTTACCTATGCAGCTAGAAGCGCCTCCGCCAAACGTGAGAAATGCGCCTCTGTTAATCAGAAGTTCTGGACGCGTTGTCCACCTTTCTGGTATGAACGAGTCAGGCTGCTTGTACGCTTTTGGTGATCTTTGAATCACATAGGTTGGGGTCAGTATTGTGACATTCCCTGGGATATAACGATCTCCACAAGTTAGTCCCTGAGCAGGAGAATCTCTGAAAACGCCATTCGGTATGGGCGGATGCATTCTCAAAGTCTCCTGGATCACAGCATTCAGATATGGCAAATGCTGCAGAGCGGTGGGCTTTGCCACTTGTGCACTGTCTATGCCGTTGGAGAACAATTCCGATCGCATTTGCTCTGCCAGAGCTGGTTCGGACGCCAGGTGGTACAAGGCAAAAGTCAGAGCAGCCGCGGTAGTATCACTCCCTGCTGTGATTATGAGTCTGCTGTCGCCCACCAGTAGTTGGTGGTCATCGTGAGCGTTTCCGAAGAATGGCTCGCGCAGGAGGTGATGGAAAACATCCGGTTTCTCGGGCTTCACAGATTTTCTTTGCGCAACGCAACTTTCGCAATACTCGAGGAACTTTGTCATCGGCATCATTTTCGCAGGGAGTTTTGTCATAATATGCAGCAGCCAGGGTGTATGTTGAAAAAGCCCTAAAGGGATCAGATTCTGGTGCATGATCTTGATGGCGAAGTGGGCTTGACCAGTCTTCAGGGCATCGAACGACCTCGAGAACGCGACCTCGCCCATGACGTCGTAGGTATAGTATGTCATCCACTTTGAGACGTCGACAGATTGGCCGGCAAGAGACAAAATCTGCTGCAGAAGCATGTCGGTGCAGCTGACGACACGGTCATCGTAAGCCCGCAGCGATTGGACGTTGAATGCTTGGTCCCAGCCTGCCCTGCGCCGGCGTTCATGCATTTTCTTGTCTCTCATCTGATGCAAAGTCATCATCGGGAACCCGATGTTATACCAGATCGATTTTGTACATTGAGAACGACCGCCATGAACGATCTCGACGATATCCGGATCCGCAATAGAGATCTCGTTGGGTCCTGTTAAAGTCAGCCTGCGATTCGAAGAGCATTCTATATGCCCACGCACCAGTTCGAACATAGTCGCCATACTTTTCATGCCATTCTTGTATATGCTTGTAGTCCTTGAGATCGCTAGTCTGCCAAACGTACCAAAACTTTGATATACGAGCGAGAAAAGGACCTGGGTAGTCTCGCAAGCGATGGAGCCATGCTCGATATACCGACATGCTTGTCCATAGTCCACCGACAAATGAAGCCCAGAGCACAATAACGACTGTGGTGGCCTCTCTAATACTGTACCCAAGGACGGTCAGACCATTGAGTAATGCTACAGGCGAGAAAACGCTCAGCAGGAGGATCTTGGGCGCATCATCAAGGTGCTCCCCAAGCCGGAAGTAGAAGAGGTGACACATGAAGCCAGCTGTAACAGCGCCGCAGCAAAGAGGTAGCAAAGCCATACTGGGTTGTGTGGCATGGTTGCAATATTGTGGATATGGCCATGACGAATATATATGTGCGTGTTTAGACCCCGGAATTGCAGCGCAGGCTGGGAAGCGCTTCGGTACGAGGGGTGGAGAATCGGCCATCCTGAAGAGATTAATGATCGACGCCTGAGCATTTGGGGGACAATTAACACTACCACTCCATTCCCTCTTGTTGCCCACCAGACTTGCCGATGAGTGCTATTGTCTAATTTTGTTCCAGACTTGTTCAACCTTGTGATCTCTGTAAATGAATGCAGCCTTGAGTCGGCAGCCGGCGTCTTGCTGAAAAATCTTTACCTTGATCAAGCGCTCATACTCCGCTGGTAAGGAAGCGATGTCTGATTGATCTGCTGTTTCAAGTGCAAGTGCCTGCGATGCAACCGTAATCAATTCTTCCCTGTCCCAAAGCCCCTCCCTCCTTGGACCTTCTCCCATCAGGCGTATTGCCTCTTTTCGTAATGAGAAGTGCCGACATTTCAGGCTTGTAAAATACAATGGCGGCAATACTCCCATTCCAAATGTGAAGACGTCATGGACTTGTTGTCTGGTAGCAAGAGCCTCGTTAGCTTTCTCAAGGATGACCTGAAAACAGTCCAGGCTCTCGTCGAAGCTCATCTCGAAACCCTCGAAGGGATTTCGCAACCAGATCACTGCGGCGGCATGCCACATGCTCAGCGTCGCGATAACAGCACGGTCCGAATCGTCGAAACTTTCACACATTTGCTTGAAATTGCTGTTCCAAATATCCAGCTGGATGAGCAGCTCCTCCTGTCGCTGCAAATAGTGTTCGTGCAGCGAAAATGGCGTACAGGTCGTAGAGTTCAAACGCTTGACAAATTCGTGCGAGATGACTAAGTGGTGGAAAAGAAGATCCCGGGCGTCTTTGAGATTGTTGAAAGTGGATGGTGTTGGGTTTGGGCCAGGGAGAAATGCCAGGTTGGAATAGTCAGTTGGGAAACTGTGGCCGAACAGCTTTGCCATCATCATAAGTCTGTTGTACACGGGACCTAGACTCTCGTAGATGACTGCGCACCTAGATATAGCAGAGTTTCGGGAGTTTTGCTCTTGGAAAGTTCTCACGAGAAGGTAGCCATGCAGGAAAAAGGACATGGCCTGTAGTTTTTTCCCTTGCAGAAACTCCATACACAGAAAGAGGGGGCAGCTTAGTATAGCCACAAGTTCCTGGTCTGCAGATTCTGTATACCGATTTGCCTTGCAAAGAGCATTTTGATAGTATTTCAAAGAGGCATTCCAAGACCGCTGATGCATTGTTGTTCTGGAATGTCTGTCGTGTTCTCCAATATATGCCGCAATGGCAATCGCCAAACGACGGACCGATGGCACCGAGTGGGAGACTTGCAGAAGCGTCGTGATCCAAAAGTCTTCATCAAGGAAGCCACTGAGCTGGAAGACGACTCTTTTGCGGAAATATTCAAACAGTTGGCGCTCCTCGTCACTTCCTTCAAAGATCCTGAGTTGGCAGTCGACGTTGGCGGCTGGTCGGTCGGGCTTGCGAGCTCGAATTGCAGACCGTTGTCGCGAGAGGGCAAAATTTCTGAACACATCTTGATAACCAGTACAATGGAGTTGAAGCCGTGTGCATCTGGAAGAGATTCTATCAGCTTACATGCCGGATTGGTGGACATGTCGTACCTCTTGCACTTTGGTTTTTGCTCATCGCACTTTACCCGATGCTTTCTGCGCACTTATGAGCAATTCCCGGGACTTGACAAGATGTCGGCTTAGTTTCCTTTTCAACTTACCGACACGTCAAGCAGCCAGTCTTCGTTTTCTTCGACCCGAGTCGCCCACTGACTCTTTGTGGCTGCATTTCCGTGGAGGACGTGAACGTGACGGGTTGCTCACACTCCGCCAATCAGCCCTTGCGCGTAACCTGCTGGCGGAGGAGCCGACAAACCAATGTCAGAAGTGATCCTTGATCGAGATACGAGAGCGACAACGAAAAAGGAGGTAGGCATGTGTAAAAAGAATTAACGTTTCAAGGTCATGAATTTGTTGGAGGCCTGAAAAACTCAGCCTCGATCATCTCGAAACGGCGGCATCTAAGTGGTCTATCGCTCTCGTTTCCTTTTGAGGAAATTGCGGCAGCGATCAATTTTTAGTGTAGATACCACGTAATGCTCGATAGCCATCGCTGAGGAGGTTTGGTATTGAGGACGATGTTCAATGCTAGTCAAGGACAGATACAAGCCATTCTAATCGCTGGTCCGAGGCAGCCAAGTGCACCTTTTATATAAACGGCATCCGTCTGCAGGATTACCTCTACTTCTCAATCGTGTTCTGTCACTTCAAGTTGTATTTCAAGATGCTTCTTCTAACCTCGTTCATTCTATTGCTATTCCATCTGTGCAGCTCGCACTCGCAATCTTTCCAACCATGTCCCATTCTCGGTCCACGGTTTCCTCTTCCAAGCGGTCTGGCAAGTGACAATATCGTTCAATCTGCGCTGAAAAATGTCACTGCCACCCTCGATGGACTTGTTTCCACCTCCAATAGCACCTATGGGACAATTACTTCCAACACAACTTCTTTCTCCATCGGTCTATTTACTTCGAATGATCCTTCGAACTATTCACATCCATTCTTTTATGAGTACCACTACACGGCGCCCCTCATATCCAAAACAACACCTGGGACATCGAAACTTGATTCGGACAGCATTTTCCGCATCGCCACAGTCACAGAAGTCTTTACAGTCTGGGTGTTCCTCATCGAGGCTGGAGAGGCACATTGGCCCGACCCGATCACCAAATACATACCAGAACTAGCAAGGGACCATGGCCAGACCCCTTTTGGACACTTTTCCTGGGACGACGTGACACTTGGTGATCTGGCGGGACACCTTTCAGGAGTGCCTCGAGATTGTAAGTTTGAACTATCGGCCAAGGTGCCGTCTAACAGCGGATTTAGATGGCATCACCGATCTGAGCGCGCGGAATATTTCACTTCCAAATCCGCTGAGTGTCACGAAATGGTCTGGTTGTCTACAGCCAACCTGTACGAGAAAAGGCGAGTAACCTACTAAAACAGGCTATGTTTCCGTCAATAAACCCTGACAGAGTACAGATTTCTTCAAAGACCTACGCGCACGGTATCCCGTTTATCTCCCGGGTACAACTCCTATCATGTCGAATACGGCTTTCCAACTGCTCGCCTATGCCTTGGAGGGTATCAAGAAGCAGCCATACGATGCTATGTTCAATCAAACAGCTAATGCAATAGGCATATCATCCACTAGCTTGCACCGCCCACTGAATAGCACAAATGCTGTGATCCCGGGGATAAGTGGGAATGAGAGCAGCTGGTATACCGACTTCGGCGATGAATCCCCGTGAGTTTCTGGAAATGAAGCAGAGTTTGTCACCCACTGACTTCATTATTTTAAAGATCCATATCAATGTACTCTACAATTGCCGATATGTCAAGAGCAGGAATAGCAATGCTCAATTCTACGTTGAATCCATCTGCTGTGACACGGAGGTGGCTCAAACCAATTGCACACACATCGAACCTAGTCAATGACGCCGGCCGCCCTTGGATTATCTACAAATCAACCCAGGACCAGAGCCCCATCAATCCTGTCATCGATATCTACACGAGTTATGGCTCAGTGGGTCTATATAGCTCATATTTCGGGCTCGTGCCCGATTATAATGTCGGCTTCGTCATCCTCGCAGCAGATGAAGTGGCTGCAGCTGATCTCAATGTCTATGTCGATATTGTCGCCGATAAACTCCTACCAGGACTTGAGAAAGCGGCAATTAGCCAGGCAGGGCATAGGTACTCTGGAGAGTACAGGTCAACCCAACCAATCGCATCTCTGATCATCGAAGATCCGGACGACATGCCTGGCTTGTCCTTATCCAATTTCACGGTGGGGTCAACAGACATTCGCGAAGAATTTGCAAGGCTCGCGGGAATTTCTCCATCAGCGCTGAGTATCAGACTTTACCCAACGGATTTAATTGAAAGAAACGCGTCCGGAGGGACCAAGATTGCCTTCCGGGCAGTTTTTCAGGACCAAGATGCACCCATTGACGCTGGAACCCCTACGTGCATCACCTGGCTGAGTGTCGATGCACTGAACTACAATGGCAAACCTCTGGATTTGTTCATTTTCAGTTTCACCGAGGGACAAACAAGCGTCGAGATTCCAGCACTCAATCTGGAAATAACAAAAGGTGGCTAGATGGAGAGCAGCGCCATCAGCCTCGTGGAGAGCCCCCCAATGAAAATTCGATTGTCACAGTATAAGTGGTCACAAGTTTCGTAAAACACCATTCTCGATTAATTGAGACAATGTGCATGTAGTCGTTTGGACTTCTCTACATGAGATATAAATAGATATAGCTATAATGTTAATATCTTTAAGTCTCTTTAAAGACTCACGCGGTATAACTCGTTACTGTACTCTTGAATATTTTATTGTGTTGTTACGAACAGGCCGCATACAAGCTGTGACACCAGCCAAGGAACTCGGTGGCCTACCAAGAGGGCATCACGTGATGGACAGACGCCAGATCAGTAACGCTCAGCTGCGATCAGTGGTGATCAGGCTGAGCACGAGTAGACACGAAAAAAAGGGGGAAACATCATTTGAAAACCACCCGCCCCGTCAGTATCCAGCTCGTACCTGGAACCGAAACAAGTCCTACAATATCAAGCTCGTGGATGTTGTATCGCCTACTGACGGAACAGGACACCCCCAGCTTACAAGCGCTCTGAGAGACGTGTCTTCAGTGGCACGTGCGAGGGTGGCTAGAACCTAGAAGGTACGTACTGGCGGCCCTGTTAATTCTGACCTCTTCTATCTTAGGTGGTCTCCTGTGGCGCGTACGGCCCTGTTAAACCTCGAGACCAAGTCACCGTCCACGGCGCAGGGGTTTACCTGCGATGGACCCTGTTAAACTCCGAGAACAAGCTCACCCTCGACCCCTTGACCCTGTCCTTCCGGTCCTGTTAAACTTCGAGAACAAGCCACCGGAGGCATAGAAAGGAGGAGGATGGTCTACAGAAAGGAACAAGCCACCGCGAGGAAATACAACGGAAAGAGGGACATAGGCTTGGCTAGTAAGAGATCGCAACGTGAGAAGAGTTGCTAACTAGAATTCTCTCACGGTCCTCTTGCGAGACATGGACGGCCTAGATGTGGGAGAACACGCTAGGCAACGCGAAACGAGGCGTGTACGAGCAGTACGCGGCTCGCAGGGCGTAGCGTGCATTGGTAACCATGGCGGGGAAAACCCTACAGGACTATCTGCATGGCTCGAGAGGACAGAGGCGCATGTCGGTGTACAGAGAAGGGACACTGTCTATCCTACTTGTACTAGGGTCCTGAGTCATGCCCAGAGCTATCCTTCACGGGTCGCTGAGACTCGCGCTATTGTCATTTTCTCACCAAGCGGCGATTTCGTCCGCTTCGAGACATCTACCCTGCGGACAAATTTTGCATTTCCACCCGTAAAAAAGCATCGCCATGGATCGTAATTTGTATAATTCCTCTTGTAGTGGTCCCTAACCGTATCTCGAAGAAATAAATGCGACGTGTTGCGCAACGTCTCAGCCCTCGGGGCTAAGCCCCAAAGAGTTAAGCGGGAGCACGCTTGGCACTCTTGCGACAGCGACAGACATTCTTGAAATTCAGGTCACTTCTTTGACAAACAACGTCAGAGTCACGACCTCTCGACTCGTGGATCAAAGGTCGTGGAGATGTCGATCAAGAACTTGGGGTAAGTTGGGTGATCTTCTGGCTTCGGTACTGATCAGTCACGATTCAAGATTCCGTACTGTTGCTACTGATGGTGCATCTAGTCGTGCGCACAGGTTTGGTTGTTAAAATGACCTCCGCTGCGATTCCAATTTCGCATCTAGCCATCCGACTCAATTCGATTACCCCTCCTTTATGATGGCTCAAAAGACCTCTCAAACGCTCCTCCCACCTCTTGCCCTCCTGTCTGTGTCACAGAGTCACAACACAGCACCCGACGTCAACGGCATCCAGCTGCTCGGACTCCTGAGGACGACCGTTCGTACACCCTAATATGGAAGAAGATGACGACCTTGTACAATTGGGGAGGATGACTTGTGGATGAATGCCATCAGATTTGATTCATTCGACCTCGTTGACTAGCCGCGACATCGGACTTGACGTGGGAACTTTATGAAGTCACGATTGTACTTCAACCCGATCTCCAATACCACCCTCGAGCTCTTCGGCCAAGAAAGCATGTCGCCGGCTGGCGAAGGTCAGTGAAGCTGCGATCACAATGGGAGACTTGTTCAACTAACAAGGTGACAGCCCTACCCAGAAAGAAATCGACGATGGTATCGTGGATACTCGGGTGCATGGAAGAATGAGAGAGGAAGAAAATTGTTCCCAGATCTCAAGGCATACTCTCCTTCCAATAATCCACGGCACAACCTTGAGCATTCTAGGAACAATGCCTCATCAATCAAGGCGGCCGCGGGCCCATCACCAGCACATGACTTTCATCACCCCACGGATTCTTGTGACACGGCGAACCTGTATTCAGGAATGAGCCACAAGTCCTCTGACAATGGAGTACCAGAGCTTTATATCGATAGTCAACAAGGTAGGCGTAGCGAATCCGCCCAACGCCCCATCCTCCTGGTACCGCGCCGCCGTAGGTGGCATCCCCGCGTGGCAGCTCGCCCTAACCAGCCAACTTCACTTGCACGGTTCAGGCCGAGAATTATCCCTAGAGAGGAATCCATGACCAATCGTATCTATCGTGATGAGACAGGATTCTTCAACCAAGTTCTGCACCCATTCGAGTATCGAAGTGGTTAAATCAACAATGCGCGGGTCAAACTGGCAGACGTCTTTGTAAGTACGGTGCCAGCAGCGACAGGAACCCCGGCCGCTGTCTACGCATCATGGACCGCCAAAGGCTTTAGCTTCCACGTGCTTGGACGAGGTCCCAGCGGCAACAAGGTGGCACTGCTGAGAACCGCCTCAGGCCGGCGAGAGCGTGCGGTCCCGTTCGAGGAGATACACCTGGAGGGTGGGTGGAGTGGTGCTACCGAAGACTGGATTCGCTTTCGAACCTGGGAATTGCAACCGCGAGCGACACGAAAATTGTTGTAGATTAAGTAACTCCATTATTACCGCCTTGAATGCACCACATGAATGTTGTTTCCTTGAAGGTTCACTCTGTATTCTTGACCATCATCGCCTTCTCATGATAACATTTCCCTTCGAAATCACGTTCTGCGTCGACAAAGGGGATCCTCATTCGGTGCGAGGGTCATTTCATGATCCTGTACAGTCTGAGGACCGAATACTATACCCTCAACAAGGATGAATTGGATCATTTGTGAGACTCTTATTCAAGGATTCGAGCTAACCTTGCGCCGAACTAACAATCATTCCATTTCGATCCTGTACTCGCACGGACGTAGGGTCCATAGGTTTGTTTATCACTAGGCTTTGCGTAGCTTCTTGACCCGCATCACATTCTGGTGGTATTCCTGCTCTTTCAAGTCGTTTCTCTGTCGCAGGCTACGCCGGCGACGCGGGTCTTTGTTTGCTTGTAGGGATCCCAGAAGCCAAGCTTCATCACTGATTTTGCTTTTCGGGGTCCAGCAAGTTTTCCATTTGATCTGATAGAGCGTTACACCAGCCTGTTCCTTTTTCCCGATGACAGCATACACATGAGAGAGAAGGGCGCCTCCGCACTCTGCTTGACACTTCCGTGCACGCGGGTCGAAGGCCGATATCCTATCTTGAAGATCGAATAGAGTCATACTGTGGAGGTTCTCCAACTTGATCTCGGCGTCAAGCTCCTTAGCCTGTGACCCAGTCACGGCGTTAGCCGGGACAAAATCCTTTGGGCGCATCCACCGATCCTTAGTATCTAATAGATACTCGTACTCTCCATGGTTGTAACAGTGTCTCCGGTCGTAGGCTGAGTCATGGTCCCAGAGTCCATCGAAGGGAAGTCCCACGGCCTCAGAGTCGAGAGAAGGCAAGTCCCCTGGGCTCCGCGCTCTGGTATCAGGATCTGCCACATTATGGACGGTGGCGACGATGCTAGAATCTGCTGCTGAGCTGTCCGAGGGAAAAGAGCTGTCTGAGACGATAGAGCCGTTTGGGCTGTCTAAGCTGTCTGCATGTTGAGGCGACTCTGTGGTGTCACATTCTGCCATGATTTCTTCAAAAGCGTCCGCCAACAGTTGAGACGGTTCATGTCTTCCCCTTTTGGACAAACGCTTCGAAGTCGACAACAGGAGAGGTGACGTGATTCGGTCGGAGTTGGATCGTGGAACGAGAGGTCGAATTGTCTTGCCGGAGCGAAGAAGTCGTGCGCCTCGAACTTCTTGAAGTCGGGTTTGAGGCATCTCAGTTGAGAGAATCAATTGCAGAGCGCTTAGTATCTTTCAAGGAGTGAGATCCAGGGGGTGAAAAAGAAGACAAGACGTGGAAGGACACATTGAGAGTCAGCGACCGTACTTATACCCATCGGCGAGGGATTTTGCCAAGTGCACAGCCTCTGTCCTCGCTTTCGTTAACGACAAGGTCAAACAGGATGGCAGAGCGGCAGGGCGAATCAGGTTGATGAGTAGGGGGCCATGATGCCACTTGCTTGTCCATAGTTGCTTCAGGCTGCCTTCCGTCGCTGGCAAGCGGACCTTATTTGACAGAGCTCTGCAGGAAGGTTACAATTCGTAGACAGGAGCTTCACGTAAACGCTCTTATTGATCCGGATATTGTCCAGGTGGTTGGCTTGACGAGCGTCGCTGCTTTTGAAAGAAGCGAAATACCCAAAAACTTGTTCCGCCGCGATTGGGACCATCTAGAGCTTGAAGTTGCTGCAAGACAGAACCAAAAATGGCCGTTGGATACTGACTCGGCCATTCTGGCAGAGAGACGCTGGCTCTCCAATAATTTCCCTTGACGGATAGACTCACACTCTTCCTCACGAAGGACTTGTAAAAACAGCTTGTGCCGTGGGAGGTACTGCTCCCAAAAGGTGGTCAAACTTTTGTCGTGCCAGTCATCTGGATGCTTCAGAAGGAGCCACCAATGGCGAGCAATATGTGAATTCCAGAGGAGCAGTGTAGCAGTATTCCCAGTCAATGACGCCCATGATACTCATGGCGTCATCCACGAGGACATTCGAAGGCCGCAAATCGTCGCAATATAACGGGAAAGGCCCATAGTTATCTTGAGTCGAGAAATTTTTGGCAATTCTCAAGAATAAGCATCGAGATACATACTTTCTTCGGGCGTCCAACTCATCAGAAATCGCATCGTTTCGTTGACTTCTGAGATGAGTTAGATGGGTTTCGGCAAGGCAGGTGAAGTATTCGTTCGCTGTGGAGAAGGATTGTTTGGGGAGGTTTTTGACTGGATAGTTCCCGCATGAGACAATTTGATTCATGTTAATCGTGATTGGCCTTTTCGTGACAGACCACTGCTTGGAATCATCAAGCCCTACAGCTCCTATCCGAGCAAATCGACATTTGGAAAGCTCAATCAAGATCTTGGTCATCCCACGATAGGCTTGAGCTAAAGTCGTCGTGGCAATGCTGGGCTTGAGTCCTTGCTCACCCAATTCAGGTCTCACCTCAAGGCAATCAGACAATGGTTTGCCGTCCACATACCATCACGAGGTACGGCCCCACGTCACAGCTTTCAGCAGCGATGAGCCTAGGAATTGGGATGGTAGTGAATCGAGAAAGGTATTGCATTACCATGCATTCGTCATTGGTCTTTTCGAAACGGACAACGCTCTTTCCGAAGATTGGGAAACGATAAATACCTCGAAACCTCTTTACCCTGTAGACAATATTGAAGGATCCCATGCCTAGAAACTCTGCTTCGGCTTCTACCCCAGCATAGTCTGAGACTTCAGCGATAATCTTGGGGATTGCCTCTTTGAGTTTCTCGTTCCAGTCACAGGTTAGGGCCATAGAGTGTTCGTACACTTTATCGTCATGGTGCATCTTGATGTTCCGTCTGTCGTTGAAGGGTAATCCGATGTTGAAATGGAAGGTGCGACAACCTTCTCAGGTTATCTCAGGCACAAAAAAAATTATCTGACTTGGGTCATGTCGATAGAAAAGAACGTCTCGATTATTAAAGGCAGTGTGAAGCAGGCTTTAAGCAGTTATTGATTTTGATGGACGTTGTTGCCTCGCGGGTTGGGAAGGGAAGAAATCCCTAGTCTTAGGCTATTGTTGGCGAAATGTGTTCTCGGTGTACCGAAGTATTTGGATGTCAGTACGGCAAGTTGATGTCAGCAGTTGTTCGGTGCTGGTTGTGTTGGGCATCATGGCAAAGGAGGGGTATCTGCACCCGTTGGAACAACCGTGATTAAGCCACGTGATAATTAAGTAATACTGTACTCCTGCAATTAGCGTCGCGTGACTATTAAGGCACGAGTTCGATTGACGCCAACCAGGTTGACGCCAAACAGGTTCACGCCAAACAGGTTAATAGTCCTACTTCATCAGAATTGTATTCTTCAAACCACTGCACATCTCACATCAAACCGAATGCGTGCAAGCTTTGGTATCTCTCTGACTTGATACATGAAAGTATCAATCTATGAACTCCTATTCATTTCAACCGGAATGGGCATACACGCTTTTTGTCCGCGTTCCTCTTTCGCATGAAGAGTCGTTGTAGCGGTACTCTTTGGCAAGATTACTTCTTGGCCTTAGTATTTTGCGAGAGACACCAGCTAAGTTGGGTTAATACTCGGCCACCACGGTGGATGCGAGCGTGGAACACGCCCCATTAACTGAAACTTGCGGCGTTGATGCTCAAACATGCGATTGAAAATAGATTCGCGGATCCTTGCTATCTCTCAGGCAAAGTCTCATCCCTTGGTTGCAGAGTTTGCTGGTACTCTGCTGGGTCGGAAGGGTGGACATGGTGGTCGAAGGAGACAGTAAACAAAGACATCTCCAGATACAAGACTGCATCACGAGTTCGTCTCGTGTCAAGTATTCCAAGAAAATGACAATCACGGCCTGGAGTTGATAGGCAGAAGATGTTTCGGTTGAGCCGCTTCGATAAAATACGCCACTACTCCTCACAAAAGCTGGCAAGTTTCCCTTACCAATTTCTCAAAGGTTTAGGTAAGGCCAAAGTCGGCAGAGACCTTCTCGAATTGCCGTCCTCATAGCTGGGAAATAATACCATGGCAATGACTGGGATCGCTGTACACGCATGGAATTTAAATCTTGGTTCAGCTCGCTCATCGACTCGTACCGTCCCTGCCAACAACCCATAATTATGGACCGGAAGCGTAGATTTTCCACGGATGGAAAGAAGCGTTGGCGATACATGTCCTCCACGTATGACAATTTTCCGTCCTGCGACATGTGCTTAGTCTCGTTGTAGAACGGCGGTGCGCCTGTCTCGATTTCGAATACGGTACAGCCGAAAGCAAAGATATCAGTTGCCTGGCTGATTGGAGGATCCGGGTGCTCTGGTGGTCGATAACTGTACTCGTCATAGTTCGCCAGTGCTTCTTGATCGTCAATTTGAGAGCCACCGAAGTCAAGCCACATCGCGACATCATCTCCGGAGATAATTGCATTGGCAGCGTTGAGATCGGCGTGTATGACATTGTTATCATGCATGTACTGCAAACCACAGGCAAGTCCACTGACCCATTTTTCTTGCTGTTCATTTGAGATGTCGCCCTCTTTTAGTATTTCTCGCAGACACCGTCCCGCCTGCAGAACAATTGTTCTGTCTTGGACATAATGCAATTCTACTACATTTGGATGCCTGCCCAGTCGCCGGAAAACGTTGCATTCTCGGATGAAATTCTCGTCATTGCCGCTATAGATTTTTGCAGCTCGACTGCCAGTAATGATTATGATGGCAGTGGATCCCTGAATGTGCTTCGGCATTTCCAGGGTACCACGGTGAACTGATCTGTGGGCATGGATGTGATGATCCGTAGGATGATACAGAAGCATAATACTGCTGCCGAAGGGGGAATTCAATTCTTATGGAAAAGCTGAAAGGGGGCAATGAAACTCTAAATCTCATTTGTTCCTATTAGGCCACAGTGACGTAATTAAGCTTGCATGACCTTCCACGCGAAATTGATCTTTCTGCCCGTCCTGCTAACGAAATGGCCTGCAGAGAACTTCACATAATCCATCAATTCAACCAAGTCACGCCGCATGGCTATCTTTTTCCACCTGTCATCAGCGGGCGGCATTATTGTCCAACTGGAGAAATGTGTTAAATGCAGTAAGAAATTTGTTGTGGTCCCGATACCTTACCTTCTCAATTCGAACCGTTCCCACGGACACTCCCGAGTCACGGCAGGTCGGACATTGGCCACCAATAGGAGTTGACCCGAACTGGGCTATGTCGGCTCTCTCCATGGCGTCGCTGCAATAAGCCTGCGAGTTTCGAGCTTTCGGACATTTGTCGTAATAACGCTGCTCTACTTGGTGCCGATTTGGTCGGCGGGGACAGTTTCTGTAAATGCGGATGGCTTTGGTGTATTGACACATGGTATCGTGGGTTGTTCGCTGCGAAACTACGAGTCATATTCCTATGTCATGTCAGAAGCAGGCGAAGGCAGACTACTTATACTGTCTCTGGTTCTAGTTTGATGCAGCCATTTCACGTCATATTTAGCTAGATCGTTGCACAGCCAGTTTCCCTTCTGTAAGTTGCTGCGCATGGAGGAGCAAAGATAAAAGCAAATAGAGTCAAGCGGCACCCAATAACATTCTAACACGATTATCTGCCCACCTGGTGCACCTTCAACTGTGCACCCTCTTGCACGGGGTCTTAAATTGCCGTCCTCCACCTTAAGCCTCCAGCCCAACTGTCCTCCGACCCAACTGTCCTTCGACCCAACTGTCCTTCGACCCAACTGTCCTTCGACCCAACTGTCCTTCGACCCAACTGTCCTTCGACCCAACTGTCCT